AACTTAAATAGTTTACACCCTTTCATTTCTGCTTTAAATCACATTGATTGATCTAATTATATACTTTATTCCTTTTCTATGTTACATGTAATATTTATACATGATAAATAAACATATTAATGGAGTTTACTGTTTTCTTTGTTTTGAAGATATAGACAAAGATACTGTTTATTTAGCCTTTACTTTAAAGTTAAAGGATTTTAAAGCAACTTTTGTTTTTGGAAATTTATATGGCGTGGCAAATAATCGATTGATTAGTGACTAATACATCAAACTTCCTCCCGGTCTTATGGCTTTTACAGGTTGCTGTACAGTTTATTTACCTTGCAGTATACGCTTGTGTCGTCGCCTTCCTCCGTAAGTATACTACTCTCTGTTTTTTATGCCCTAACTTGTGCCTCAATTAACATATCTTTATGTAAATTTTCAACAGAGGTTTCATGCTGGATGGTAACTGGAGAACGCCAATCCGCCACAATCCGTGGTCTATACCTGAAAACAATATTAAGACAGGATATTGGTTTCTTCGATACAGAGACAAACACTGGAGAAGTCATCGGAAGAATGTCTGGAGATACAATTCTAATTCAAGACGCCATGGGAGAAAAGGTTCTTATTTTAGTAAATTCAATCACAGACAAAGATTTCTTGCGACGCAAGAAGCTGAGAAAGTGATGATATTGATGCTCAGGTTGGGAAATTTCTACAACTAGCAGCGACGTTTTTGGGAGGATTCGCGATTGCTTTCTATAAAGGCCCACTATTAGCGTCCGTTCTTCTCGGTTGCATACCTCTGATCGTGATTGCAGGTGGAGCAATGTCTCTGATCATGTCTAAAATGGCTGGTCGTGGTCAAGTCGCTTACGCAGAAGCTGGAAACGTAGTTGAACAAACCGTTGGAGCCATTAGAACAGTGAGTTTGCTCTGTTCTGTACTGTTATGGAAAACTTAGTGCGTTTGTGAAACCGCTTTAATCACGTTTTTTTGTTCTCTCTCAGGTAGTAGCGTTTACGGGAGAGAAACAAGCAACGGAAAAATACGAGAGAAAGCTCGAGATCGCTTACAAAACTATGGTTCAACAGGGTTTGATCTCTGGTCTAGGTCTTGGTACAATGCTAGCTGTGATCTTCTGCAGCTATGGTTTAGCAGTTTGGTATGGAGCAAAGCTGATAATGGAGAAAGGTTACAATGGAGGACAAGTCATCAACGTGATTTTCGCGGTTCTAACCGGAGGAATGTGAGTTAGAAACCCTAGTCCCTGAGATTAACTCATTGCATACGATCTTAATTACTTATCCCTGAAGCTACTTTTGTGTTGTCAGGTCGTTAGGGCAAACATCGCCAAGTTTGAATGCTTTCGCTGCAGGACAAGCAGCAGCTTTCAAAATGTTTGAAACGATCAAGAGAAGTCCAAAGATTGATGCGTACGACATGAGCGGTTATGTTCTTGAGGACATTAAAGGAGACATTGAGCTGAAAGATGTCTACTTTAGGTATCCGGCTAGGCCTGACGTTCAAATCTTCGCCGGATTCTCTCTTTTTGTACCAAGCGGCACGACAATGGCTCTGGTGGGTCAAAGCGGGAGCGGGAAATCGACGGTTATTAGTCTAATCGAGAGGTTCTATGATCCGGAATCAGGAGAAGTGTTGATAGACAACGTTGGTTTAAAGAAGCTTCAGCTTAAATGGATTAGAAGCAAAATCGGTTTGGTTAGCCAAGAACCGGTTCTGTTTGCTACCACGATTAAGGAGAACATTGCTTACGGAAAAGAAGACGCGACTGATCAGGAGATTCGAACCGCGATTGAGCTTGCAAACGCTGCCAAATTCATCGACAAACTCCCACAGGTGCCTTCGAAATTTCAATACAAGAAACAATTCTCAAAATGATCTGTTTGTGTTTGTTTTTTTTTCATGAAGTTATCTCGTTTTTCTAGGGCTTGGACACGATGGTGGGAGAGCACGGAACGCAAATGTCTGGTGGACAGAAACAAAGGCTAGCAATCGCTAGGGCGATTTTGAAAAACCCTAAAATCTTGCTTCTAGACGAAGCTACAAGCGCTTTAGACGCTGAATCTGAACGCATTGTCCAAGACGCACTCGTGAACCTAATGTCGAGCCGGACTACAGTTGTGGTGGCTCACCGGTTAACAACGATAAGAACCGCCGATGCAATCGCCGTCGTCCACCAGGGTAAAATCGTCGAGAAAGGTATTAAAAAAGCTACCGTGTTGTAAAAGTAACTTATTTTGAAACAGTTTCGTGCATTGTAAGTTACTCGTTTGTGGAATGTATTTGCAGGGACTCACGATGAGATGATTCAAGATCCAAATGGAGCTTACTCACAGCTCGTTCGTCTTCAAGAAGGATCAAAAGAAGAAGCTAACGAAACAGAGATACCTGAAAGTACGAGCTTAGATAACGTTGAGAGATCAGGAAGCCATAGGCTATCATCGGCGATGAGAAGATCGGTTAGCAGAAACTCGTCGAGCAGTCGCCATTCTTTCTCTCTCGCTTCGAATTTCTTTATACCAGGAGCGGTTAACGTAAACCAGACCGAAGATAACCATCACGAGACAGAAACCGTGAGGCACAAGAAAGTGTCACTGAAACGGTTAGCTTACCTCAACAAACCGGAGATTCCGGTTCTGTTTCTTGGTTCCTTGGCTGCAATGGCTCACGGAACGTTGTTCCCCATCTTCGGTTTGCTGCTCTCGAGCTCGATCAATATGTTCTACGAGCAACCGAATAAACTAAAGAAAGATTCGCGTTTCTGGGCGCTTATTTACGTTACTCTCGGTTTAGCCAACTTCGTCGTGATCCCGGTTCAGAACTATTTCTTTGGTGTCGCTGGAGGAAGACTGATTAAACGCATCAGGTCTTTGTCGTTTGATAAAGTTGTTCATCAAGAAATTAGCTGGTTCGATGACACATCAAACTCCAGGTAAATCTAAATCTAAACCCTCCAGTTCCAATCGCCAGACGCGTTTTCAGTTCACAGTTAAAACGATGTTTTTGTTTTTCAGCGGTGCGATTGGAGCGAGGCTGTCCACGGATGCAGCAACAGTGAGGAGTTTGGTGGGTGATGCGTTGGCATTAATCGTGCAAAACATATCGACTGTAATCGCCGGTTTGATAATAGCGTTTTCGGCTAATTGGATATTAGCGTTAATAGTTCTCGCTCTGTCACCGCTTATAGTCATGCAAGGATACCTTCAGACTAAATTTCTTACCGGTTTTAGCGCCGACGCTAAGGTTAATTGTGATAACATTTTGTTTTGTCTGTTATTGTTAAGTTCCGGTTAATTTCGGTTTGATATTGATTTGGTTTCGTTTCGGTTTAGGTGATGTACGAAGAAGCGAGTCAAGTAGCGAATGATGCAGTGAGCAGCATAAGAACAGTTGCGTCTTTCTGCGCAGAGGGCAAAGTGATGGATTTATACCAACAGAAATGCGACGGACCGAAGAAAGAAGGTGTCCGGTTAGGTCTTAAAAGCGGTGCCGGTTTCGGTTTATCTTTCTTTTTCCTCTATTGCGTCAATGCTGTATGTTTCATCATCGGTGCCTTGTTGGTTCAGCAAGGCAAAGCCACATTTGGTGAAGTCTTCAAGGTAATAAGAAAGAAGATTAAAAAAAAAAAATTCCCGGTTTAGCAAAGATTTCGTTTGGTTTTTAATGATCTTGATTTAACAGGTTTTCTTTGCATTGACGATCATGGCGATTGGAGTTTCTCAAACGAGTGCTATGGCACCTGATTCAAACAAGGCTAAGGACTCTGCAGCGTCGATTTTCGATATTCTTGATAGTAAACCGAAGATTGATTCGAGCTCCGATGAAGGTACAACGCTACAAAACGTTCATGGCGATATCGAATTCCGACATGTTAGTTTCCGGTATCCGATGAGACCGGACGTTCAGATTTTCCGGGACTTGTGTTTGACTATCCCTTCCGGGAAGGTACAAAAACAGAGACTTTGTTCTGTTTTTCACCGGTTTAATCGGATTCACCGGTTTTTAAAGATTGGTTTTTTTTTTTTTTTTTTTCAGACCGTTGCGCTTGTTGGAGAGAGCGGGAGTGGGAAATCGACAGTGATAAGCATGCTTGAGAGGTTTTATAATCCAGATTCAGGCAAGATTCTGATCGATCAGGTTGAGATTCAAACGTTCAAATTGAGTTGGTTAAGGCAACAGATGGGTTTGGTTAGCCAAGAACCGGTTTTGTTCAACGAGACGATCAGATCAAACATAGCTTACGGTAAAACCGGTGGAGCCACAGAGGAAGAGATCATCGCAGCCGCTAAAGCTGCAAACGCGCATAACTTCATTAGCTCGTTGCCTCAGGGCTACGAAACGTCGGTTGGAGAACGCGGCGTTCAGCTTTCGGGCGGTCAGAAGCAGAGGATAGCGATTGCGCGCGCGATTTTGAAAGATCCGAAGATTTTGTTGCTCGATGAAGCTACGAGTGCGTTGGACGCGGAGTCTGAGCGTGTGGTTCAAGATGCGCTTGATCGGGTTATGGTGAACCGGACTACTGTGGTCGTGGCTCATCGGCTCACCACGATAAAGAACGCAGACGTGATCGCGGTTGTGAAAAACGGCGTTATTGCGGAGAAAGGAAGGCATGAGACGCTGATGAAGATTTCAGGTGGTGCTTATGCTTCGCTTGTTTCTCTGCACATGAGTGCAAATTGAGAGCCTTTTTTTGGTTTAACTTCTAACTGAAAGATAGAAACTTTGGATTTGATTCGTTATTTTTTTTTGCCTCTGTTTAAAACTCATTAAACTTGAGATGTAAACCATTCTATTCTAGGGTTTGCATTTCAAGACAATGGTTTCCAAATGTAGAAGTATTGAAAGCGGGAAGTGTGTAACTAACTTTAACAAAACATTGTCGTTAAATTCCTAATTTTGATCCTTTCCTGCAATTCATAGGATTAGTTTCACTTGAGCTTCATTTTTTTTTTTTAATCTGCAATAAGAACACTCTTTAATAAGCAGTCAATAAAGATCTTTTGGAGGTAAACGCTATTTTGGATCAACAAATATTAACAAGAGTAGTAATCTTGGGGAAATGGCATAACATAACACAGTAATTTGAGACGAATGAAAAAAAAAATGATGTCTTTGAAGAAACTCAGTACACTTCAGCAGCAAAGTTGCTAGTGGGAAGTCTCTGTCGCTTTTCAATGTAAGCCATAGGAAACCAACCAGCTCTGCCTTTGCATTCTCCTTCAGCCCAACCGGTTTGGCTCACCTGAGAATATTCAAAGAAAATAGCACACAGACTTAAGTTTGATTCTCTAACCACAGATTAGTTCTTTGATCTTGGTAAAATATATGAACCTTTCGCACAACGACGTAATCTCCTTTGTCCAAGTCTAGTTCTTTCTCAGAAGCAGCGGAAAATGGATGAATCACCTGCCAAGAAAACAAATATGTTGCAATGAAGAGTCTTTTTCTTTCTCTGAGATATGCAATGATGATATTTCGCAAGATAAAACTTACTTCAGCTAGAAAGTATGATGTTTTCTCTGAGCCATTCTCTGTTGGAATCGCAGGAGGAGCAGATTCTTTGTGTTGTTTCTCGGTTACCATCTAAGAAAAGTGGTAAGGCCAAAAAGTTTGAGTTTTCTTTTTTTTAGGAGATTCAGATATGAAAACAATTCTTCCGTTACTAACCTCGGCTTCAATGTCACTGAGGACAGCTGCTATTCTTAAGTGATAATTCTTCTCTCCTTCGACCTTAAGTAGAAAATGCGATATGGTTAAAACAATAATCAGTATATAACACGAAAACTGAAGTGTATGTGTGTAAACATACCATAGCAACAAGCCTCTGGAAAGTAAGTCTATGTTGTTGTGATTCAACAGCAGCCAATGCAGCAGTTGCTTCTTTACCGAGAACCGCCATGTTTGCTTTTAGCTCTTGCATCTTCGCTTCCGCTAGTTGAAGCTTTGCCACGTTTTCTGGAATCGGAGCTTCTCTTACACGCGCTTGCCTTCTAGAGACTTCCGTTGCCTGTTTTTTTACTTTTGAGTTTTAACTCACATTACAATATAGCCAACAACATCAAAGAACTGAGATTTTTAAAAACATTACATGTGTCTCCGCTTCTTGTCTCATGCGGCTGTAACGTTGAGCAAGATGACGAGCATCTTCAAGAGGAGAACCGGCAACCATGGCTCTAAGAGGATCCAATACCTTAAAGCATTCGACAAAAAAGTTTCCTTTTGTTATCTTCTAGTTTTGGATTTAAGCAATATACTAAGATTAAAAACAGAGAATTTTCAAGCCAAACCTGAGAAGACAAAAGCTTGTTAAAGTCTTCTTGTTCTTTCTCTACATGTTTCCGAGCATCACCGTATATAGCTGCAGCCTTAGCTAGAATATTCTCATCGATGTTCTGACTATTTTCGTTTCCATATCTGCAGCAGTCTTCAGCCAACTTGGTTCCTGACATGAGTTAAAGAATATATTAAAACAAGACCCAAAAATGTATCATAATCAGAGATAATCAAAACAAAACGAACACACTCCTAAGTACCTGCTTCGATGTGTCTGAGCCCAATGGAAGTAAATGCCTCAGCTGCTTTAACTATCTCTCTCTGGAACTCCTGAAAGCGACGATAACACATTGTTTGAATTATATTGAAAACCTTCTCCACCAACAATCAACTCATACACAAATCGAGATCAGGCTCAATGCAATGTCATTTGCTAACAAGTCAATTTCTGAAGTAAGACAATGTCAGTTTCTTAGTCTAACCTTTGCGGAACGAGTAGACCGGTAAAGTTTATCGAGCTGATGATGCCTTTGCATTTCAAGCTCATCAATCACCATTACATCTGAGCTTTCGTATCCAGTTCCACTGAATTGCTTGATCACAGCCTACATTCCCAATTACCACAAACCAACACAAATCATCACTAACATTGTGTAAGCAAACAACTCTATAATACTAATATACAAATCAAAATTGCTTGAATCATCGAGAACATGAAATTTGTATTGCAAGATCAAACACCTAAGCAGATTAAAAAAAAAACCCCATCATTTTGTTTTTTTTCCAGATTTTTTCTACAAATGAGCAGATTCCGATAACATTATACTCGAAAGTTAAGACCCAAATTCGGTAAATCCGTGAAAATGAAGAAGTTAAGAGAATGTCTCTAAGAAGTTAATGCCATTACCAGTTGCTGCTTAGCCACTTGATCCCTGAGCTTACTCGCTTGTCTTCTAAAGGCATCCATTGCGTCACTTGTCCTCTTGATTTACCCAAATTATCTCAGAGAAAACGAAAGAGACGAGCTTTAGGAATCTGAGGGGAATTGGGAAGTTTCACTTCGATCTGACCAGCTTAGAGACTGACAAAACAGAGCAGATCTGATTTTAGAGATTGTAGTAATATATGTTCTTCTTCTTCGACACGATGTCACTGTTCTCTCTCTGATCCTCGGAGAAATCACAGAGCACACACATCGAACCGGGTCGGGTCGGGTCGGATAAAAGGTGGCGAGAAATGCTTACATTGAATTACATCTGAGATTGAACCGAACCAAGCGGGTCCAATCCGGTTAAAATAAGCGTCGGCGATTGGGATAGTTGGAAGCTGCAAAATAACAAACATACCAAACGAGGCCTTACCAAAATAGTCAAAGACCATTACGTGACAATTATAATTGATTAACTAATTATTTAACTCGCATAAACAACTAAATTATACTTAGGTGTTAACGAAAATATCTGACATGGCCACCTCACAACCACTTGTCTATTGTCCACACTCCCCATATTATTTGTCCTAACTGTGGCCACAATATAATATTAATAATTCTGAAAAAGACAACCTATTTCTATTTATTTTACTCTTTTCTCGTTGGTTCTTTTGATATCTAAATTCCTACAATCCAAGATTACCAACTACAACTTTAGTGAGATATTTACCATGTTCTTAAGACTAATACATTTGGGCTCATGCCTCTATGGCTCTATCTGTGAAACATATGCAACAAAACTAATGTTTCTGCAGCATTCAGTAATGCAACTGCCTCAATTGGTGCAATGAAATCAATGTAAAACATCACCCAAAATTGTAATATAATTTTGTGGCTTCAATCCAACGATTGACACTAGTTAATTGACGACTATTTGGTGTATATTTACACATTTTTAAAACATATTATGGAGTTAGTACATCAACATTGTTTTAACTTCAAGAAGATATTTTCTTATATAGACGATATTTTAGTATCAATCAAACATGTACTTTTACTCTTCTTTTATTTTCAAAAGGGTTCTATTAGGCATTTAGGCTTTCTTTTATTTGAGTGTAAAATGTCAAAGATTATTATTTTAGTTATCGATTTTATATCACCCAATTAAAATTGTTTTTGGCTTTTGGTTAAGTTTTTTAAATAGTAAAACTAGAAATTATTTTGGTTTTTCTTAACTAAAAAGAAAAATAAACTAAAAATTATTTTGGTTTTTCTTAATTAAAAAGAAAAATCTCTATCCATTTTGTTTTCCTCGTCTGTATCAATTGAAATGACTTAAATTAGTAAAACGAAACAAACACGGAAAACAAATGAAACAAACGCGGAAACCAAATACAAAAATTAAGTTAGTGGGTGATTTTGCAGTAAATGTCAAAAAAACGAGAAACCTCTTCACATGTATAAAAATCACACACAACTTTCCCACTTAGACCATTTGATTTTTGAAACTTTACGGCTCAGGACAAAAATAAAAAAACAAAGACGCCACTTTTTTTTCCTTTTAATTTACAGAGAGAAAGGGAAGAGACAACCCACGATCCGCCATAGCTGTACAGATCCCCACAAGAGAAGAAAAAAAAAACTTAATCATGCCTCCAGGTGCTAAGAAACGAAAAGCTGCTAAGAAAAAGCAGGAACAAGCATCTTCTACTCAAATCAATCTCAAATCCAACAACCAAGGTGAGATTTTGATTTTTTTTTTTTAACAGCCCATAATCCCACTACCTACCTTGTCTTTTGCTCTTTTTGTTGTTTGTCTGTCTAAATCTCAGTTATTCAAATTACACACACGTTCAGGCGACCTTTCTTGTTTGTTGGATTCGGATTTATTCAATTATATAGATTCTTCAAGTTTGGATTTTTGATTGCTGTGCTCATTGATCCAAACAAATGGGTATCCTTTTTTACTTTCTTTTTTTTTGTCCCTCAAGTGTGTTTCGCTTTGGGTTTTTAGGGATTCTAATCTGTAAATCTTTGGGTTTTTGCCGACTAATTTTAGCAAGTTGGTGGTGATTCGTCTGCCTTGAATCTAGGATTCAGTTGGGGATAGTTTTGTCTGTCAGATTCATGATTATGGTTGAAATTTTATATCTTTGGCTGAATTTCTGTTGATCTCTGATGCTTTGATTTGATTATAATAGCTGTTCCAATTTGGTCTTTTAAGGTTTGATCTTTGGATTGTAGATTTGACTTGAACAGTCAAAGAGTCACTCTTTGTTGTGGTATCATATTAGTTCGTCTGTTCTGAAACTGATTTGGATTTGTTAAACTGATGTGCTAGAATCGAGGAGCCAAGACGAAAGGGAGAATGATGATGGTGTTAGTTCCCAGGAAAACTACAAGAAAGCAGGATCCAACGAGGAAGATGCAAATAGAATCGGAAAGGAACCTGAATTGGACACTGATGAACGCATAGAGATAACTGATTCAAGCCATGATCATGACAAGAGCTCTAGCAGCAGCAGCAGCAGTGGCAGTAGCAGCAGCAGCAGCTCGGATGATGAATCCCGGGAGGTCAAGAAGAAAGAGGACGACAAGGAGAATGATGATTCTGTTTCTGAAGTTATTACTGTGCCAAATCAACCTGTTCCAATCGCTGGAGATGCTCCGTTTATGGGGTCTACTGCTAATGTGATTGTAGAGACTACTGGTTTGATGGATTCAACGGCTCCTAGCGATCCCAGTCCTGGAGAACTGATTGAAGTATCACATGTTGATACAGAAATCTCAAATGAGACTCCTTTGCCTAAACCAAATGAGATTACTGGTGAAGTTTCTCTTGCATCTGATGAGCTTAAGCAGGCGTCTTCAAGTGAAACCGGCTCTGATAAAAAGGAAAACGAAGGGAAAACATTGCCTCTTCCAGAATCTGAAGTTGTCATTTCTCATGAGGAAGAGGTCTTTACTGTTAACCTAATCGGTTTTATATCTTTTTTTGTTGCTTATGTTACCAAAAAAGTAAGACTAAAACTCATTTTCCTTTCAGGCTCCTGTGCTACCAACACATGGAGTTGCGCAAAGAACCTCATGGTTAAGTTGTTGTGGCTTGTTTGATGTGATGACAGGATCGAGTAAATAAACTCAGGTAACCCTCAACTTCTTTATATTCTCTCTGCCTTTCCACCTTGAAGCATTGTTGGATGCATAATCTCTCTATTTCAGTGAGCTTCATTTGTCTGCATATGATTCTTAGCTCCAAGTAGATGATCACTTAAAAACCGAAAAATAGACTACCATATGAGAGCATTTCTTTCACCAAATGGCACTGTGAAGTGAGCATCGAGTAATAAGAAAACTAGCCTAGATCTTGATTGGCTGTCTGTAGAATTACATGTTTTCTACTTGTTGATGAAGTTTATTGACACTCTTTTGCTCTATTCTATTCATTCGCAGAAACTTGAGTCGCCTATGAACTCAGAAGCTGCACAAGTGTTATCACAGCCACGGATTACGTGTGATATAACAATACGCGAAAATTCAGTAACTTGATGAATGTCTCTCCCTCTTTTAAGAACACAAAACACGCCTTCTCTCATATGAAATAGTACTCAGCTTCTAGTAGTCTTCAAAGCAGACATGTCTGCAGTTTCTGCTCTTTATATATAAGTCCTTACAGGTTCTCTTCCTTTTCGCTCTGTACGATTCCTTGTCTGTTGTTGTTTTTGTTCTTAGGTTCTGAGACTTTGAGACTGTTGTTGGACAACTCAATACGAATTATGTATGATTATTTTCACTACTCATGAGCTAATAATATATTTATCTAAGCATTAGAATTTCGTAAGAAATGTGTATAAGAAGCTACATTGTTTGATTTCAGTCCACACTAAAACTCCAGAATGATTCTTCGAATCTTCATCAATATCAATACCAGCGAAAATGATATAAAAACTTAAGAGAAAGAAGAAATGAAATTTCTATAATCCTCTAGAGTAAAAGTCGCTCCGTTCATCTCAAGACGCTTCAAAATATCGTCGCGACAAGTGGGACATGAATGCTTGAGGCGTAGCCACGAGAGAATACAATCTCTATGAAAACTATGAGAACACCACAAACTCATAATACTCTTCTGACCATTCAACACGATCTCCTCTAGACAGATTATGCAGTTTTGTTCTATTGGCCTGATCAGACGACCTTCAGAGTCATAATCATCGTCGAATTTTATAAAGTTATTAAACGAAAACGACGTTTCTTTGACAACTTTAACGTCAGCTTTAACCAAGAAACTTCCTTCTTCTTCTTCTTGTCCTATTTTAATGGCAATTCTGGAGATTTTAGGAGCGATGCGTTCCTGAACCCAGCTCGCAATCCTTGTCTTGGACAACACGCTAGCCACATATTGACTACATGTTTCTTCTTCGCCAAGTAACAAAGATGGAGTCTCAGACACGATTTCTATTGGTTCTAGTTTTCTTTGTCGGATTAGGGTTTCATGACCGCTTCGACTCCTGATTGAAGTCCGCTCAGTTTCTCGTATTTCTATTGAAAACGATCCTGAAGATGTGGAATCGACGCTGTACTTTTCAAATTCGTAGTTTACATGCCATCTTGTCGAGCAAACGTCCGCCATTGTTATATTGATGAGACAAATCCTATCAAGTGCTTTACTTGTCAAAGAAGTTTATTGTTGTTTGTTTGTTTTTTTGGTAGATTATTTCTTCATATATCCAGTCTTATAGCGTTTTATCTAGGTTTCCAAACTCACCTAGGATTCAAAAACCTAATTTGACCGTCTCTTTATTTTCCATTTATATATAGTTTTTAACAAATTATTTTTCATTAAAGTAAATCATATGACCTATATGTTCTAATATATTAGTTAAAATAATATTTAGTAAATCTAGTAATGTTTATGATTTGGTTTGCCTAGTATTCTACATTGTATGATTTTTCTATTAAAAAGAAGAAAAAAAAATATACAAACATATATACCCACAAAGTCCACCAATCCAATTCTAGGAAAAAATCTCTGGTCCAAAAACACTAAAAATCCTGACTCATGCTTCGAATCATCCTTTTTTACTCCGTCGCATGCAATGCCTCCGCTTGAAACAGAGACGTCCATGTCTCAACTAAGTAAGATCCAAACATCTGTCTCCCAAATCTACTATCAGCATTGAGCCTCAGCATAAGCTCTCTTCTGAGCAAACTATCAAACCTCACTGACTTCGAAAGCGATTCATCATCCACAGAAACCGATCTGTGTATCCGCTGCTTCATCTCTGCTAGCTTCAACTCTATCTTCATCAAAACCTTTTGGCAATCTTCAAACAGAGAATCCAGATCACAAAGCTCGAGTCTTTCACATTGGTTTCTTCTCAGAGCCCAAACAATCTTTCCCAAGATTTGAATTGCATCTACGCAGAGAAGAATAGAATCATCAAAACGAATAGATTCAGGAAGGTCCACATGACGATGCTTCTTGTTCTCCTTCTTCCTAATCACTATCTCAAAGACTTCCTCGAGCTTTCCCATGATTACACTTGTACCCTTAGCATCTCCATTGACCCCAAATCGCTTTAGACAGATCCAGTAATCTTCAATTTCACTAGCAAGAAGCTCATTAGGTGTCAAAAACATATATTCCGCCACAAGCAACGAGAACTCCAGTCCATATCTGGCAGCTTTCACTCTCCTCTTCATCAGATTCTCTTTTCCTTCTCTCAGTTTCTTAATCAAATACAACCGTATCTTATACCCGAAATAATCTCGTTTAGTCACAGTTGGTTCTTGTTCACTCCTCTCCAAATTCACCTTCACTGGACTCTTCTTCTTCTTAGTATCTCGTTTCTCTTCCTTCTTCTCTTCTGCAACACCGAGTTCGGCTTCAAGGTCTCCATTAGTGATCCATGAAGAAATCTCCTTCTCTTCCTTCTCAGCTTTCTCTCTCAGTTTAGTTCTTAACAGATCCTCAAGAAAATCTCCAAACAGATACTCGTCTTTAATCCGCTCCAAGTAACTTCCATCTCTCTCAATCTTTTCTAACATCTTCTCAATAAACTCATCAATTTCACCACCTTCTTTTGCTTTATTCACCTCTTCGTTTTCATCTCCAAGCATAGTTGATAACATCTCATCAAAATTCTCGAGAGTGTCACCATCTTCTGGTTTGCACACAGAATCTTCATTATCAGTAGACATATCGGATTTCAGGTCACCCCTAGAGATCCATTCTAAAACCTCATCCGCAAGAAACTTAACTTCTTCACGTTGTTCTGCTTTCCAGTTTTGCACAGAGTCACATTCTCTACCGTAACTAGGGTTACGAGACACAAATCGATCACTCGTTTGACCTTTAGTCTCCATTTCAGATTTCAGAATCTTTAATTCTCGATTGAGAATGTCGACCAAATCTAAATCGGTTAGGGTTTGTGGTACCGTACGAGTGAAGTCAATTGGGGTCTTCTTCATTGATCCTCTTCTTCTGGTCTTCTTCAACTTCTTGTTCTTCGTCTGCAGAATCGTTGGGTTCTCTTCATCAATATCAGCGAGGACTGTTGTAAAGATTGAAACTTCAGCGCTCAGATTCTTTTGCTTCTGCAATATTGTTGGATTCTGTTCAATTTCAGCGAGAATAGTTGAAAAGATCGAAACTTCAGCACTCGTCATCTTCTTCTTCTTCTTCTCCGCGTCACTTTCTTCTGTTTCTTTAGTCGTTGTTCTTGCCCCCATCTTCTGGTTTCAGCAACCACAGAAACGTAGAGAGAGAAAGACAGAGAGATAGGAGAGAGAAAGCCTTTATAAATGGCCGAAGAAGTAGTCTTTTATGCTCCACCGAGTGCGTCGATCGCGCAGCCGAGTTTTATACGACAAAGCCAACATTTTTCAGGTCGATACAAACCAAATCAAAGCCCTTTATCGAATGAAAAATAGAAGAAGCTCACCATATAGCTACACTCTCAAAGTACAACAACTCTCACATGCATTTCGTCGAACAGATTCAGTGCTTCGCCAGTTTAAAACTGTTCTTCCCGAGATCGACTCACATGGGGAAAAGTTAAGGCCTTTTGAAATTCCCTCGAGCCGTCTCAGCATTTGGTTCTCTAAGTGAGAGAATTCAAAAAAATTCCACCAAAGGAACATGAATCGTTGAGAATTGACGCGATTCGCCATCATTTCAAACCTCAATCAATGTATGTTTCAAAGGTCGAAACAATACCAATTGGTTAGCTTATGAGAAGAATACTAAAGAAAAAAAAGTTATACTACAAAAATAATATTAAATTGTAAATTGTTTAATTGCTTAATTTTGCAGAGCTGGTTTAATTTTTGTGCTATAGAATCTGGAGATGTTATTCGGTATTTTCTATTTGGTAGTAAACTGTCAGAATGTTTTTATTTTTATTTTACTTTAACAAGAGAATGTTTACGTACTTACGTTCATCTCTAACAACAAACTCAATTATCAATTGGTGTTTTGTTCCAAGAATTATTTGAATTTCATGAAGAAATACATTTCCCATCATATACGTTTTCCTTTTTCAATAGTTCTGGTTTGTATAAATGCTCGTTAACTTTTTGTTTATATTTACGTATTTAATTTACTTTTTTTAGTCAACTTTATTTGATGTAAGAAAAAAAATCACTTATTCTACATTTTCAAATCTATTTCTTAAAGATGGATTACACAGAATTTGAAAATAAAAACAAAATCTTAATTTTCCATTTTAATAAAATAAATCAATGCAATAAAAAAACTACCATTAAAATAAGATTAAAACCATAGAACTATTTGTAATTAACAACTTATAGTCACATCGGTTACATAGAAAGGTATCTCTCTTTTTGTTAACGTTTTCATATTCTGTAACAAATTAGATACTTTCCATTTAACAAAAAATTTCTAGACTAAACCATTTGACGTAAAAATATTTAAGTTGAACCATTGCGTTCATTCCATTCCATTGCTTGAGGGAAGCCATGGAGAGAGATTGGAGAAGAGAGATGATGAGGAGGCCGAAGTTGTTCTGTGACCTTCTTGCAGAGAGTGATCTTGCAGAATCCTGCTCCATGGCGATGCAGTGGAACGAAGAAGATGAATACTTTGATGAATTCATGGAGGAGTTCGAAAGACGACGTTCGTCATCCGAGAAAATTCTCGTAGACACCAATTTCTTCAACAGCTTCGAGGATGATTTCGACGATTCCGACATCAACTGATTCCATCGTCATCATGATCTCCTTATTGTCTTAAAGTGTTTTCGGTTTTCTTTTCCGTAAGTTTTACTTTTATCTCTCTCGACTGCGAATTGTGGAAGAAACGAGATTAGCTAGTGTTTTCATGGTCTTTGCCTCTTTGGTTCTACATGTATTTGGATCTCTTTCTACTCTAATAAACCAAATATTAAATTTCTGAACCAAACCGAATAATCGAACACCCCACCTTAATCTGGGCTATACTATAATGTTTCATAATTATATACACTGTTGTTAATTAAACCCATTTTAGAAAATGTACATGTGTCTTCTCTGTTCATTGTTGAGTGATTTTACATTTCTTCAAAAAAACCTTAAAACCTTATTAAACCTGAGCCATTTTCTTATCCATTGTTGGCATTCTTTTTTTTTCATTTTTTTTTTTTTTTTAACTACCTCCTTTTATTTCCTTCCCAAATGGGAGGACATTTTAAACAACTGACCGAATGTACACGGGTTGTAATAATACTAAACCTGTACATGAGAGCAAAAAAAGGAATACATACATACCAAAAAGATGATAAGAAGAAACTAGCCGAAATGCAAATAAGACTAGATAAAAAGGCAGCCGGGGCCAGGTTCAGGTTCTTCAAACGACTCTACATATATTTGCCATGCAAATTGCGGGGCCAGGTTCAAAAAAATTTCGGAGTATCGGGTTAAAAAAAACAAAAAACATACGGTTAGAATATTTTAATGTTTTAGAATCGTTTCAAACTAACTTTAAAACAAGCATAAAAGAACTTGAACGTGTTTTATAATTTTTCCCTTTCTTAAATCCAAAAGAACCCCATAAACAGTTCTTAGACCATGATTATTGCAGTTTCTTCATGAAGTTTCTTAGGCTTTTTAGCTAATCTTATATATAAAAGACAATCAACTTTCTCTAGTTGAGTGACACATCAGCAATGGAGAGAGTGACATGTGGCACATCCAAAAATTGATAAAATAAATAATTAATTAAATTTAAAGCAAAACACATTAAAAATATAAATAAAGATTAATATATATATATATACATTAGAATGCAATTCAAATTTAATTTAAATATAGAAAAACTTATAAATTTTATATAATACAAGATTTTTTAGATGCACTATTCTATTTTCTTCTTTCAAATGATTTAAATTTCATTTTCAAACTAAAAATATACTAAATTTTAATGCAAATAAAAAAAAAATTAAGACTGAATAAATTACGAAGTTTCAAATATTCTTATATAAAACTTCTACTAATAAATTAAAAACACACAAAAATATTTAATAAACGATTAAAGAGATAACAATTATTAAAAAAAAATTTAGTATAAAGAAAGATGTGCACGTAAAAATGTCATACATGAATTTAAATTAAAAAATAGAATCAATAAAATATATATAACTAAAAAATTCAAAATGGTAAATTGAAAAATTTAACAAGTATTATATTAGTAAGATTTACAAGAATAAAAAGAATATGAAGATCGAAAAACAAAAAAATATTCCTCTCTAATATTAAACGTATATTTATAAGTGAATTATTACGTTTTCATACAAAATTTAAAATAGTTTATTTTTAATCCCTTATTATTTTGGAAGAAAAATTAGACTATTTGGCACAACCGGTGTAGAAGAGATTACAAATAATGTATCATCAAAAAGAAATTAAGGAAAATATAAATATTTTAAACGCAAAAAAAATTAATAATAAACATAAAATTCAATACAAAATTTTAAAATATAGTATTTAAATATATATTAAAACAAAACCCGTGTATACACGTGGATTCTCTCCTAGTTAATTAAATAGTTGAAGCTCACCGAGGACGGTAAGAGAGCACACCGAACCGAACAAGTCGATGTGAGAGAATAACAAGAAAGAAACTATTTGTATGTGTTGAAGCTTTTATGATAAAGCTTTTTGATCACACAGCCAATATTTGAATAAGAACACATTATGAAGCAGAAAAATAGCCATTATTTAAGTAAACCAACCTGTTTATAAAAATAATCTTCTCCAAGTTGAAATTTTAAAAACAAAAGAAACTGATAACAGAATATTCCAAACATGAATCTAACATGAATCTGATTCCAAACATGAATCTAACAACAAATCTGATTTCATGTCAAAGTTTTGAGACCTAGCCACCTCTATAATCACACATCCTATGTCCCTTGCTTTCTTGGCCTTCAGCTTTCGAGTAAAACAGAGAGTTCCATAGACTCAACAAAGTGACAAACAATATCTAGATCCCTGAGCCATTTTCTTCTCCGCTCCAAGCCTTTTGGCATTCCTCTCTTTGTCGTCAATCGAAATTCTACACCCACATTCATCTTTCATCAACCGTCCATTGCAATTAGATGTATTTACATTGAACCGGTTCAGAAAATAACGACCGGTTCGATGTAATTGGTAACTGTTCTTCGTTGACCGGTTAAGATGAAATAATCAAAATAAAAAAAAACTTGGGCGTTGGGTACCACCAAATCTTAAGGCATTTTGGTGGAGACATGACCTCTGTGTTTCCCCGTTGTTCGGTCTCATCTTCTTCTTCAGGGTCTTTCTCTTTTCCCAACCGTCCTCCTCTTAGGTTAGTTCCGTTCTCCTCTGTTTTTCTCTCATCTTTCTCTTCTTTCACATTGCGATAAATTTTTAAAGGGTTTCTTCTTATGCATATCAAGGTACGCCGTGCTTGGTGCTGGTTTTGCTGGAATCTCTGTTGCGTGGCACCTTCTCAAGGTACTTAGTCTTCCGGATTCTCAACCTCATTTTTTTGATTCAAGACGAGTACTTGGTCCAACTACTAAGAAAAAATGTGTTTCTTTTGCAGGACTGTCCAAAGGATCTGAGATTAAGTGTTGATGTATATGATGAAATTGGCATCGGAGGTGGTGCTTCTGGAGTTTCTGGAGGGCTCCTCCACCCTTATTCTCCTAAAGGTTTTTGAAAAGTTGCCATTTTTTTGTGAAGCTGCAAGACTTTATTCTGTTCTAGTGTTTTTAAAGCATGGATTTTCTTACTTTATTCAGGGAAGCTACTTTGGCATGGTGCTGAGTGTTGGAGAGAATGTTTAGAGCTCTTAAATGTTGCCGAGACAGCAGCTTCTTCTTCTTCTTCCAGTTACTCATCTCCAGCGGAGAATGGAGACTGCAAGGAGAGTTTCGGAAATTTTATGGTTCGAAGAAGGTACACTCTCAGTAATTTAACTCTCTTCTTGTCTTTAAAAAAAAGTTATGGAGTAAGGATTCATTAGAATTGTAGACTTCTGACTCTTCTTGTCCAGGGGAATCTTGAGACCTGCAACAAATGCCAAGACTTTGGGTTTAATGAGTGATGTAAGCTCTCTTGGACTCCGATACCCCCATTGATATTCAACTAAACCCTTTAGTTTTACTGTTTCTTACTTATGCCATTAGAATGCTCGAAACTGCCTTGCCAGTTGTGTAGTAGAGACTATTGACAAAGATGGAGCTCAAAACCTTGTCCCCAATCTATGCTTGCCTTTGAACTGCTCCTTCTATCTTCCGGGAGCTATGAATGTTAATCCGCAGCGCTATCTCCAGGTTTGGATAGACATAAGAAAAACACTCTCTGAATTTATCTGTTAGCACCAAACGTTTGATATTTACTTGAATTTTTCTCCCTTCTGTAGGCACTCTTTCTAGCATGCCAGAACTCAGCAAGAGCATCACTTGGAAGCAAAACCATAACTTTGGTGAAGAAATCTATAGATGATTTGCTTGAACTTGAAGGTGAATGATTTTCTCAGGTTTCTCATTGCTATTTAAACAATATTCTTATATACTGGATCAAATTTCACAGGCAGATGTCCTGGCCCCTAACATGATGTGATAAACTATTTCTTGATGATTCTGATCTGATACTTGAACACAATTTTGATATCCGTTAACAATGCAAGAGTAGAGTATCCATGTTTTTGCTCTTAGGTCCTTGCCTGCACCGTCAGAGATTTAGTATGAACGGCTTTCGTGTTGTTATCTCTAGGAGAATACGATGCTGTTGTAATATGTCTTGGATCCAAGGTAGACTTTCTTCCTGGGCTTACTGGAAAGCTCCCTTTAAGGACATGCCGAGGTGTCATTACTCATTTGCAGTTACACGAGAGTGCCAGGTAATTCTTCTCTGTGCTCAATAACTTTTAAGGGTTTTAGACAGTCCTTGAGCATATAAAGTTAACTGTACAGTTCTTGTTGGATTCGTTAGATCCCAAAGATTTTGTTTAGTGAGGGTATCCAATACAAATTGTCCCCAAGCAGCACTAAAAGAAGTGTTGATGTACTAGCACTACTATGGCTAGCTCAACATGTCTTATTCATTGGTTTACTGGCGCATTATTTCGTCCTGGTGAAAAAAAATTTCCTTTGTTGAACTTTTTACTGGCAGGGGAAGTTACCCGGAAGGTGGACCTTCGATCTTGTCAGATGCATGGCTTGCGGTTCAGGGACCTCGTGATCTACACATGGGATCCACATGGGAATGGCAATCAAGAAACTATTCATCGGATGTCTCAGCAGAGGAAGCCTCAAGAGCTCTCGCCGAGCTTCTTCCCAAAGCGAGTGCAGTTTATCCAGACATAGAGAAGTGGGAGTTTGCAGGAGCAAGAGCGGGTTTGAGAGCAATGCCACCTGTCACAAGCCATGGGTCACTGCCGCTCTTAGGATGTATAAATCAGCTCATAGGTGTGGGGGCAGGTGGATCTTGCAAATTCTGGTTATTTGGAGGGTTAGGATCAAGGGGACTACTCTATCATGGTTGGCTTGGGAAACTCATGGCTAAAGCTGTTTTATGTTGCAAGGAAGAACTAATACCTTCTGAACTAACTTCTTGGAAGAAAAAATCAGTCAATAAATAAAATTTGTGTAAGAAGAAAGTTTTGTGTAATTTTTTATGATGGAAAACAGAACACATCGATGTCTTTCAAACAAGTCTATCTAATAAGTAAAACATGAACATTGTGCGTTTTATAGCCAAGATGAGAGGTTACAACTATCAGATCCTAACAACAGTTCACTTTGAAGCTCTAACAAAGTTTGAGAAAGCTGAGTCGTCATCTCGGAGAAGATGTTGTGGTTTTCCTTGTTCAACCAGGATTCCGCGATCAAGAATTAAGATGCTGTCTAAATCAAGAACCGTTGAAATGCGGTGAGCAATGGTAATGACGGTTACGCCTTGGCATTCACTGGAGATTGTGTTGTGCAGTAGGGAAGCTGTGTGAACATCGATGTTGGCTGTGCATTCATCAAGGCATAGGATCTTAGATGACTTGAGTAGAGCACGTGCAAGGCACAGAAGCTGTCTCTGGCCAACAGAGAAGGAACATCCAGATTCCTTTACATTCGAATCTAACCCTCCTGCACTCTCTACTTCTGCCTTCACTTTACACTTCTCTAGGATCTCCCAGATTCTCCAATCCTCACTCAACCCAAGAGGATCAAGATTCTCCCTATGAGAACACCGCAGCTTTTAAAATGGAAACTGCAAGCAAGAACCTGATTATTGAATGCAATATGAGTAAAGTCCTCACCTCAATGATCCTTGAAACAGAAAAGGGCTCTGAGGAACAACAGCGAGGCGAGAACGAAGCTCTCTAATTGGAAGATGGTTTATGTTAACTCCATCCACCATTATATGTCCACTACAAACAGGAGTAAGCCGGAAAAGGGCATTCAAGATTGAAGATTTTCCGGCACCAGTTCTTCCTATTACTCCCACCTGTTTAAAAAATGCAAACAAAGTTGTTCTTTCATGAGCCAGAAAAAAACTCAAGTCTGTTTACAGACTCCTGTTCCGCAATACACGTACCTGTATTCCTCCTTGGATTGTAAAAGAAATGTGGTTTAGCGCCGGAGGCAGAGCTGAGCTGTACCTCATTGTCACATTATGAAACTCGACCAATCCTTGAACCGGCCACTTACCGTTGAGAGATTGTCGACCGGAAACTTCTTCTTGAGGCACATCCATGTACTATTCACACATGAGAGCATGGTTTATGTATTAGTAACATTAACACAATGACAAGTAATTAATCAATCAGAATCATTATTACCTGGAGAACCCTTTCAACAGAAACCATTTCCTTCTCTGTTTCGGTAAAACTTGTCAAGAAGCTTCCTAATAGAGAAACCAGTGGAGCTGCATATGAGAGTGCCAATCCCACCTGTGATTCAAATAGTAAAATTTTTATGCTTTCAATTGCCATATAATTTATGGAATATGCAATTTCTTACCAATCCAGGTGTACCAAAACTGATTGGAAAGTTTCCCCGGGAGCCGATAACAGCCATTACAGCGACAAATAAGACAATCATTGCTCCTAACAACTGCACCAATTAACTCGAGTGATCAAAGGCTTTTAGTGATTTCCATACTCATTTATTGCAGAATCACACGAAACTAAACATAAATGAGCATTATCTTAAACTCCAAAAGAAAGCTACACAATATAGATTTGAGCCTGGGGAATTAAACGTCTTAGTGTACCTGAAGACGCAAGGAGAGCCACAAGCTTGCAATTATCTCTGAGTAAGAAGTTCGCTGGTATAATGTCAAGTGATCTATAAATCTAGATACGAAATGCTCCTGTCATGCATAGTTAAACCAACATTAGCAAACAGGTTTGTCAATTAGTGGAGAGGCAAAACCTGACATTCATTCAATCAAAACGATTGGAAATGAATCAATCATAAGAACAACTCCTATAGAAGCAGAACAAAAACTACCTCAGACTTAAAAGCCCTGATAGTTGATGATCCATCAAGTGTCTCCGTGAAGGATGCATAGATTGGTGATCGTGAAACACTGTCCAACCTTCGTAGTTCCCTAGATGTTGATCTGTAGAAGAGCTGAAACAATTTTCAGTTAGTTAAAACTTTCAACTCCTCTTTTTCTACTAAGATAACCAAATATTTAGATTATATAAAAGCACTTGTATAATCTACCACACGAGGCAGAAGTACCTGAAGCTTGCTGTATATATACCAAAATGGCAGAAGCAGAAAGAGGAATAGAACCTGTACACATATAATATAGTAATGTTAATTAGCAACTCATGTCCAACAAAACAGAACAATATTACTTAGACGTGCAAGAAAGGAGATAGGAATTTGTGACCAAACCTGAACATAAGACAATACTACAACAATCCCTAACAAGCCAACGAAATTTGCTAGAAGAATGTTGAGAATAAACGGGAGAGAGTCATCGATTGTATATAGATCAGAGGAAAACCTGGACAGAGGAACCAAAAACGAGGTCAAGATGAAGAACAATAATACACATAATCAAAGAGTTCTCTTGTCTCTAACCTGTTAAGTATTCTTCCACTTGGTGTCTGATCAAAGAACTGTGTAGGTGCATTGACAAGCTTACAGATTAAGGCACTATGAACACGCACTGCTGCTTTTAGTCCTCCAAATGCAAACGAGAATGCCCTCACCAATGTTAATATTGAGTTTATGATGCAAAAGATACAGAGAACCATCTGCAAGATTAGTAGTAATTTCGCTCGATAATGCAGAGAAATAGAGTTAAATCTAATGGTTTTCTGACAGGGTATTACCAGGTAAAACGACGTTGAGTTCTGTGTCACTCCTCTTCCCGTCTTATCAACCCAATATGATAGCCATAAATCATTCCCATTACGGGAAGCTTGCATCAAAACCGCAGAAACCAATATTATAATTGTAATGAACCAACCAGAAAACACAGCATAGTTCCTGCAAAAACAGATAACAGTTAATTACTTCTATATAAGCAAGATAAAAAAAAAGGACATGGTTAAGCAAATTGTTTACCTATAAACTGTTACTTCAACTCGGCCCTCTTTTCTTTCCTCCACTTTGACAATATCTGCAGCTTCACTAACTTCATCTACATCATCTTTCTTGATAGAAAGAGATTCTTTTCTTTTAGTCAGGTGTTTTGAGGATGACATATCAAATTCATTGGATAGCGAAAATGAAGGAGAGATGGATCTGGGCATATCAGTAACAGTTCCTGACCATTTCACTTTTCCTTTGTCCATCACAACAACCATATCTGCACAAGATATCGCCTGTCATAACAGAAACAGCTCCACGGTATGAGAAAACAAAAAGAATATAATTTTCATCAAATCAATCATCTATGATACCAAACGACGAGTGATTAGGCTTCATTTACGCAACAAACCACTCCTTAACAAGACAATGGAATGTGGAATACTTGATCTAAACAAAAGACTCTGAAACTTGATAAATTTGCATTGCAAGAGAGATCTAAAACCTGAATGTTGTGAGTGCACATAATGCGAGTCTTCTTGTTCAACAGTGGACCCAAAAGTGCACTTTGCAAAATCCAACAGCCTACTTGTGAATCGACTGCACTCAGTACATCATCAAGCAGATACATGTCTGAACCCTGATAAATAGCCCTGTTGATATTGCGCACACAAAATCATCAGAAACACAACACTAACTCTATAGATTGTGAAAGAGCATAAGATAGAAATCAAACCTGGCCAAAGCAAGCCGAGCTCTCTGTCCTCCAGATAAGTTTAATCCTTTATCGCCTATAAATGCCATGTCACCTCCGACCATAAGTGAAATATCAACATCTAGTGCGCAAGCACTCAGTGTGTCGAAATACCTAGTTTAACATAGTTACAAGAAGATCAAGACTTTGCATTTCCGAGAATAAAATACACCAGAAAATATCTGTGTGTATCTGTAAACTCGACAAATGTGGAACGTGTAGAAGAGCATAAATGTATTGATGAAGCGAATTACTTAACCTTTTGGAGTCAAAATTCTTCCCAAATAAAATATTTTCGCGTAAAGTTCCAGATAAAATCCATGGGACCTTGCAGTAGAGTGAGGTAAATGTAAAGACTTCTCAAAGTTGAAACCAACGGAAGAAAAGAATCATAGAAAGTATTTGATCAGTTTACAAACCTGTGGAACGTATGCCACAGACCCATTTAATAGTATTGATCCATGAACACACTGCATTTCGCCTAACAGTGAATTCAACAAAGATGTTTTACCTGAACCAACCTGAAAATGAAGGAAAGCAAAAAAATACAGATCCAAACATGAAAAGACATCTATAAGAGGCACCAAATTATAGAAGAATGATACTCTACGAATATAGAAAGAATATAAACAAAGGTGGGGACGAGTTTCTATACCTCACCGATAATTGCAACAAATGATCCCTTCGGCACTCTTAGGCTTACATGTTTTATTGTCAAGTTATTTTCCTCTTCAACGTTATTTGACCAAATACAAGATGCATCTTCGACTAATAGAGCTAAGTCTTCAGAGATCAAACCAGAATCTATAGAGGAATCTTTATTATGCTCTAAACAACGCAGAAACTTGCTCACACGCCTGGTGGATATAAAGGCCTGTGACAAGGTTTCACAAAACTATTAACTAAAATGGTAGATAAAGATGCAACTCTGAATCCAACATGGTTGGAAGATAAGCTTACGTCAATGAGGCCATTGATGACCCATGGAAACGAGTTTAATGGAGATATTAAGCTATTAAACAAAGCAAGACAAGTAAAAACCTGAAAAAAGCAATTCAAGTATCAGATATCCAAGACATGTTTTTGTACTTGAATCAGAAACATAATTGAAAATGATTCAAAAAGTACCGTCGCAGCATCAAGTTGATGACCCATCAGTGCAAAGAGACCAAAAGTGCAAAGAGAGAAAAGAGTTGGTGTCGTTGCCCAAAAGAATACACACCAAGCATCCAAATACTTCCGCGTCTGGAAAATCCAAAACAAAGACTTAACTGTTAATACAAAACACTTGGGAGATACAGAAAATTTCTATTAAGATGGCAGCTTCAATAGCAAAAGGAGGGATGTGAAAATGAAACCGCTAGGTGAGTCACTTCAGTGGCTCTTGTTTCCTTCAACCAATTAGCAAACCAGTTATCCCACCCATACATTTTAAGTGTGCGGATGTTTGTTAGAAGCTCTCCTGTCTTTCTAATCCTGATAGATAACAAAACCTTTTACAATTTGAGAATATACAACTCGAATACCCCATCGGATTACACTCAAGAACTCACCAACGTTGAAAGAACTAAACATTTCCCTTGAATAGAAATCGAATAGAGAAATACAAGACATCATACCTCTCATCTTTTAGCTTCATCATTTTCTCGGTTGCAGACGCAATCAGCACAGATATCCATTTATTGACTGAAAATAGAGTACATGAGAACAGAGGACACTCCAGATTTCAGGAAATGTAATGTAAGCTCGTACCTGGTATCAGTAAGATGGTAATTGCAAGTCCAGACAGAAAAGCAAACTTGACTTGAGTATACAAAAGATACAAAGCTATTCCAATTTGCAGAGGCAGGCTGAGACAAATATGTCGGATGACATTGAAACAGTGACCATCTTATTTATACTCAATATCGGAAATTAACACATCCACTGTTCACAAACAGATGTTATTACCTCCACATGTCATGCAAGCTGTTGCACAAATTGACAATGCGGTCAGCATCTACAGACATAAATGTTTGAATCTCGCCTTCAGAAAATCCTGAACGGTTTGCTGTGTTCACCCACAAACACTGCATACAATGTAATTTCTTAAACAAAACATCTTTTACCAAAGAATCAAAAATGTTTGATACACCAAGTAACTATCTATCGTGTAATATCCTCAAAAGGAGCCTCTCATTTAGATATCATGAACCGAATACTCGCTGAAGTAACTAGGAAAAGAAGCACAAAAACCCGAAGATTTCAGATACAAGTTCCAAAACCCTTGCTATATACAAACTCTTGTTTGATAACTAGTTCACTTCCGATTTCAAGGAAATTAAGGAAACCAATTACCACTCACAAAATCAGGTTTTTCACCTTTCACATATTTTTTTTACCTTCCTGTAGATGACACTCATTATACTAGATCGGAGCTTCAGTTTAAGCTTTGAAAGACGAAATGTGTATTGTGTATCAAGAAAGGACCTACAAGAAAGGAAGCATATATCAGAAGTGCCTTTAGTTATTGTCACACTTCAAACACAATCGGCAGTTTATGTACTTAAAGATAGATGTGAGGCCCAAGGAGATAGCGAGGGTATAGCCAACGGAACTTTCCGAACCTGTTCAGTTATACACAGTGTCAAATATTCCATCAGTAATCATATATATACCAAATCTCTATGAAGAATCCAAACCTTTTTCAAGATAATTGATAAGTCTGTTGAGCAATAAGGGGCCTGCAAAGCCGATGCAATCATTGAACACCTGCAAAAATTATGTTTTTCAGTAGCAATATGAACAAAGATTACCAGAGAGTCTAATAAGCTAATGTGTACCTTCAAGAGTCCAAGACGAAAATATGGCCATCCATACACACCAGAAATTGACCAGAATAGTGATGGATTTGAGCAATTATTGCACTCTTGAACTTGCCAGCATCTCAATAAATTCTCACAACATGTAGAAGGATCCATATCAGGTGGAAGTGGAAGTAGATCTTCAAATTCGAGCTGCTTCATCGAGCCATGTTTCATTACTAAACCGATATATCCAAAAGTGAATAAATCCCACCAGCGGATAGTTTTCTTTTTCAAAAATGAATAAATCTGTTAGTTTAACTATTCTGTAAACAAGAACTAATTACTTAGAAGGAAAAAGCAACGGGATATTACGTACAATGTGCCTTTGATCGTCACCATCCTCAATAAGTGGATCTTCCAAAGAACTACAAGGAGAAGAACGAAATTGGAGAAGAAAAATGAAAATAAATAAAAGGAGAGAATCATATATATAGCACATATACCTGATCTTGGGAGTCCCCTGCTTTATCCTAAGGACGTTGATAGAGATACCAAAAGCAATGTCCAACATGATCAGGCAAATCTCCAAAGTCTGTTAATCAACAAGGGTCTGTGAATTTCCCCATCAATTCTTATGTTCACTAATTACTTATATGGTAACTGTGACTCGAATGGTAGCTATTATGACAGAAGAAAATCATGGATGAACAATTTGAATTACCTGTAAACTGAAAATCATGTTGAGATGAAGGGCTTCCGTTAGGAATCTAAGGATCCACCAGAAACATAGGATCCGGCTACTGAAAACGCAGCAAGCACATGAAAACTTCGATGAGAGCATGACGGCAATCTGCAGAATAAAACGGATAGAGAGTAATATACAAGAAAAACAATCATCTTTTTCTATACAAGATTCAATTCCAAAACAGGAAAGGTGACTCTTGTCCTTCGAATTTCACCTGATTATCTCAAAAAACAGAACTTAGTATACAAAAGGGCTTACCCACATTGCGAAACGAGACAAAGGGAGAAAGAAAAGAATGAAATCTCTCCTAGGCTTTGTCCTCACAAGCACCACAAGGTCCACGCAAGAAAAACATGCTCCAAGTGCAGGTATTACATACAACACACTCTTTTCAATGTAGCTTTTCTAAATAAAGAAGATCAGAAGAGAATCGATCATTTGTGAAACTACCAAAACCAGAACCAAAAAGTAGCCTTTTCTTACTTACCCTTCTGTTACATTGACCACTCCTTCTCATTACTGTGAGTATCAAGATCAGAAGAAGAGTAACTACATTTGCTCCCAACCCTAAAACTGTAAGCATGCTTAAGGAACCAAAATTAGAATTTTAAGGAACTGAAAACTCTTGAGGCACATCCCTATGAACCAAAAAAAGCTCAAGTAAGGATATATGTCGCCTAAACGTTCCAGGTTTGCGTCCATATAGAGCAGCTAAGACCAAAGACAAAAAATATCTCATCATTCATCAACCAAAACCCCATGGAGAAGGATTAAGTAGCAAACAAAAACTTTACTTACAGTTGAATTAATGAGAGTGATACCCATGGATTCTCTAGGTCCCAAAGCCTTCCGAGGAATTCACCAAATTCCTTTTTGCTCTCTCTCTTTTTAATACTCGTAGAAAAGCGTTTAAATTTAATCAAACCAGAAATTACATTTTGTTCTAATTTTGGAATATCTTTTCCACGTACAACAAGTGTGACACAAAGCTGCATCTTTGGTGACCATGATAAAAAAGTTAAAGTTAATTGGGAATGGTCCAATGCTTAAAATAATCACTTTGGAAAGTTAAAGTTTTTACACTAATGAAAACATGCGTGGGAGGATCACTTTTAAACTCATGACGTGGATGCCACTCATCTCTCTGGTTTCAACACAAGTGTCTCTCTAATCCACTTTCATTTTGTTGAAAAGTTGCTCAAAAGAATTATCATCGACCAAATATTGAAGATTTTTTATAAAACCAAGATGAGTATCCAACAAATACTACTAATTACTCAATATTAAGAGGCATGCTATTAAGATTAGGAAGTCAAGCGGCATATTATCTAAATAAATGAATTTAAACTTACTGCAAAAACGAATAAACTAGTCTACACTGGCAAAATACCTTTCAAAAGCTCCCCTGAAAATAAGAAGGTTAAGCAAATCAATAATAAGGCCAATCAAATGGAAAACTAAAAAAAAAAAATCAGTCAACAGATAACCGCATTTGGAGCGCGTCTAACGCAACTCTTAACTCTCACATCCTAAAGTGTATTTAAGCCAATGGCCATCTTTTCCACAAAACAAAATGCAGAAGAAAATAATGGAAACTACAGAGCCCATATCACAATCTCATTCACACACAAAAGATATTACCAACCTTGCAATTTCACAGGGCTTAGTTAACACATGAACCAGTTTGACGTTCACTTGTTCAAATACATTTCTATTTTTACCTTACATCAGACGATTCTATAAAGACAACTCAGTTGAAGCAATTTGGTTTTCTCGTCGTCTCTGTCTCCTTCAGCTCTACTTCTTCTCTAGCTGCATATAGAAAATCTACTTGGATCCCAAAAAAAAAATCTCGTGTTGGGCATTCGATAAAACAAACTATCAAGTTCCAGAATATAATCTCTCACGGGCATTTCGTCGAACAGGTTCAGTGCTTTCACTAAACTGTTCTTCCTTATGCATCCCGTCACCATCTTCAACTCTATTGACAATCCCTCGTAGAGTTTTTGGCTTTTTAAATGGTTGAACATAAACACTTCGTACCCAAATCGCCATCCCTGAAAACTCTCGATGCTGTTTCCGAGAAGAAATGTCGAAGCTTTTCTCATAACCCAACAGTCAAAATATCTCCGCCAATTCTGCAAAACCAGTCAAGATCCTCTCGCTATAATTTTCGTAATATGACAATTTCAGACCACAAAGACTCCATCTTTCTGAATCTAAGAACCATGTCTCGAGTTGTGTGTTATACTAAAACCACAACTTATGATAAAGCATACAACTTTTGATCATAGGAGCAAGATCTTCACTAAAGTAATCAGTGATTAGCCATTAGAGTCGAAATATGAAACCAAAGTAGTAATGACTAATGAGTAACCAAAGTTATACTAAAACCACAACTGATGATAAAGCATACAACTATTGATCTTAGGAGCAAGATCTTCACTAAAAGTAATTAGTTACAGGTTAATATGAAACCAAAGTAGAATGGTAGTAATGAGTAACCCCAACTATTTTTATAATCTTTCTCCAAGTCATATGATATTTCTTAAACCGCACGCAACTATGGACAAAGGAGTATTCCAGGTTACTGAATCGAGGGTTGAGACACTGATTCTTCACTATCTGATGATGATTCTGGACAATCAAAGTCGCTTGCTTTCCTCTTCCTTCCTGATTGAAACAGAGAGTTCCATAATCCGAAGCATGCTTCCTCCAGACTGGCTCATCACTGCTCAAGGAACGTTTGGTATTGAAATGGAGCTGCTTCACCTCTGTGATCGTCAAACCAATCTTCCTGAGCTCTCTTTTTGCAATCTTCGATCTCCCGGTCTATAGCACAGAGTTTCTCTGGCTCTTTCTTCCAAGATCCTCGTGCGGGAAAGATTGCGAATACAGCGTATAACCTCTTCCAAACGTACGATTGCCTCTGAGAAAAGCTTTCAGAAAGCTATCTTGCAAGATCCTCTATTTTAAACTCTCTTAATCGCACGAGAATAACCATAATAATACCTCTTTAACAGAACTACGAATCTGGAAACAGTTAACAAAATGGTATTTTAATTGAAGATGTTTCATACTAAGAACCAAAACTCTTGTTTGTTCACTCCAAACACAACAAGGTAATCAAAATCGTCTGATAACAAAAAAAGGAAATGCAACGAGACAGAAACAACTAAATATCTCAAAGTGGCTTGTTTCTTCACTCGTCTTCTTGGCTACGGAGCCTAGCATGCCTGTTGCTAACAACAATGTCTAGCTGAGAAGCTCTCTCGACAATGGCCTTCCTCTTCCTGGTGGAGACGTTGTGGGCAATCTCTGCGCAGTAGGTCCTGTTGTGCATCATCAATAGCTCGAGCTCACTTGTGTTGTGAACAACGAATTTCTTGAATCCATTGGGAAGATAGTGACGTGTCTTCTTGTCAGATCCGTAACCAACATTGGGCATCAAAGTGACACCTTTGAACTTTCTCCTGACCCTAGAGTCAATACCCTTTGGCCTCCTCCAGCTCTCCTGCAAAAAGGAAAGGAATCACAATGAGTAAATGGACGAGAACAAACCCAAAGACAGAGAAACATATCAAGAAAGCTATGGAATATGAAAGTTTATTAAAATTCAGAGACTGAGAACAAGAATCATGCTTGAACTATTTTGCGAGATAATGAAATGTGATTATGACACAAATGAAGGATGAACTTCAATCGTCATTTCATTGGAAAAACTTCATGACTGGAACCACGAGGCTGTATCAATAACTAAAACTGTAATCAAACTCAAACGACTGTGAAAAACAGTGAACGTTGTTGATGAGAGCACTAAGGGTTTACTTAAACCATAAATTTCATGGAAAATCTTCATAAATGAGACTTGAGAGACTGAATTAAATGCTAAGATTATTAACCAAACTTCAACAATTCTAGAATCCAGTGAATGTTGACGAGGGAGTAACTTAAAATCATCATTTTCATCGAGAAATCTTCATAAATAAAAGACTGGAATCAGATGCTTAAGTGAAACTATATTGCATCCAATAGATACAAACTTTAAGAATTTGCGACAAAATTATAATCAGACCCTTCCGTTTCTAAAGCTCAGAGCAAAACCCAGAGATTGATACATCGAAAAGCTAAAAGAACAAGTACACATTTTTGTGAAATAGAATGAAAAAACGTGGTTACCTTCACCGTGATCCTGCGGTCGCTCTGGGGTCTGATGAACCTGGCAGACCTCTTCTTCACGACCTTCTTGGTAAGCAACGGGACCGCCATTTTTGCTGCTTCCTAAGATCTCAAACTGCGTCCGACTCCGTAAACAGCAGACCAAACCCTAGAATGCGTTTTTATAGGCGTTACTAGGGTTTCTCAATACACACAAAATGGGCTTAGTTTCTAGCCCAATACTAATTTTTCCGGGCCTATAATACTATTGAAGGAAATATGAAAAAAAAAGTTCAAATCATCCGGTAGCCCAATAGACTTCCATTTTTTTTGTCATTGTCATATTTTTTTCAGAAAACAAATTTACAAGAAAACGATCTCTGTTGTAACACATATCATATATGGACTCTTATACCGGCTCATTAGGCCCATCAGGGTATTGTACTTAACCTAGATTCCCTATGTACTCTATATATACATTCCAGTGATTAATAAAGTTTCTAAGTTTTCACAACACGTTATCAGCACGATAAGACTCTCTGAGCGAAAAACCCTAATAAATCCGGCCACCACCAAAACCCTAAAAGCAAGTCGAAACTTAAAAGACGCATATCTTCCAAACCGTGAGGAACCAGAAGACGATCTACATATCAAATCGAAGCCCTCGACGAGACGAATCTACTGGTGAAAACCGTTTGTCGATCCAACGTCGGACGCGCCCTCACGCACACTTACAGTACACGACGATCAACCGAAAAAAAAAAAAACCAGATCCGAGTTTTTTCCTTCTTCAACCAGCAGCTTCTCCAGTTTTGGTGATCAATCCTTGGAATTTGTAGCGGCTAACTGAGGTCTATTAGCTCCCAGTTTCATTAGCCTGTCAGAAATCCAAAGGTGGAAAAGCACACCAGCAAATGGAAACCATAGTCGTAGATAGTGGATCCAGCCACACTATCTTAAGAAACAAAAGTTACTTCATAAACCTAACCTATCAAACCGCAAATATTAGCACCATTGCGGGCCCCTCAAACCTTATCGAAGGATATGGCCATGCCTATGTGTTGCTATCAAATGGCACACAACTTGAAATACCAGATGCTCTATATTCTCCTAGTTCGAAGAGAAATCTTCTGAGCTTCAAGGATATAAGACAGAATGGTTTCCACATAGAAACCCAAGGTCAAGGGAACAAAGAATCCCTCCTAGTCACTAAAACCGTAGACGGCCATAAACAAATCCTCGAAACCATACCCGCGCTCTCTACTGGACTTTACCATGCTAAAGTCAGTATGATTGAAGCTAATACCACTCTCAAAGCCTGGTTTACTGATTATACTATTTGGCACGACCGGCTCGGTCATCCCGGTGCAAATATGATGCGTAAACTAATTCAAAACTCTCAAGGGCATACCCTCAAAGAAAACCGAGCTTATCCTCAACACCTCATGTGCACAGCTTGTTCTCAAGGCAAATTGATCACTCGGCCTTCACCAGTTAAAATCTCTAAACAAACACTTCATTTCCTAGAAAGAATCCAGGACGATATCTGTGGACCTATACATCCATCTTCCGGACCATTCCGGTACTTCATGGTCCTTATAGACGCATCGACCCGTTGGTCATATGTTTGTCTCTTGTCCTCTCGGAACCAAGCCTTCGCTAGGTTTTTGGCCCAAATCATAAAATTGCGGGCCCATTTCCCTGACTTCCCACTAAAGACTATCCGCCTTGACAATGCTGGTGAATTTACCTCACAAGCGTTTAATGACTACTGTATGGCCATGGGGGTAACCGTGGAACATCCTGTAGCACATGTCCATACTCAAAATGGATTGGCTGAATCATTCATTAAACGCATTCAATGGATAGCTCGACCATTACTCATGAGATCAAAGCTCCCGGCCTCAGCATGGGGACATGCAGTATTACATGCTGCTGAACTCATACGCATCCGGCCATCTAGTGAACACAAATATTCCCCATCCCAACTACTCTCGGGTCATGAGCCATACATCTCCCATCTCAAAACATTTGGGTGTTCAGTATATGTACCCATTGCTCCACCACATCGAACCAAAATGGGACCTCAAAGAAGGATGGGAATATATGTTGGTTTTGACTCTCCCACCATCATAAGATATCTCGAGCCAACCACTGGAGATCTCTTCAAGGCCAGATATGCGGATTGCCAATTCGATGAATCAGTATATCCCTCTTTAGGTGGTGAGACAAACAAGCTGGTCAAAGATCTTTCATGGAATCAAACATCATTAAATTGACAAGATCCTCGGACTCTAGAATGTGATTCAGAGATCCAAAAGATTATTCATTATCAAAAGCTAGCTAATCAATTGCCAGATTCCTTTGCTGACCCGACCAAAGTAACCAAATCGTACATCCCAGCTTGTAATGCACCAGTACGAATAGCTGTCCCAACGGGACAGACCCAAGTTGCTACAGAGTCTGCACCACGTCTCAAACGGGGCAGACCTCTCGGTTCCAAAGATAAGAATCCCCGGAAATCAAAGAAAGGTGCAATAACCGAAACCGGGATTCCTGCAATATCAGACATAGCCGCGGCTGAGACTCAATCTAATGAACCCTCAATGGAAGTTCGGGACGCCGAATCTCCAGGTTCAGAAGATAACAATGAGATCTCCATCAATTACAATATGTCCGGAATACAATGGAATCGAAAAGAAGTCGACTTAAATGCACTCTTTGCATACAAAGTAGCACTTGATGTTGCGCTCACGCAAGAGGATCTAGAACCCACGTCAATAACACAGTGTACACATCGAACAGATTGGCTAAAATGGAAAGAAGCCATAAACGTGGAGTTAAAGAGTCTCAAACTCAGAAACGTGTTCGGTTCGATCATCCGGACCCCATCACACATCAAGCCAGTGGGCCACAAATGGGTCTTTGTGCGCAAAAGGAACGAACTCGGTGAAGTCGTTCGATACAAAGCACGGCTTGTAGCACAAGGATTCTCACAGAGACCCGGAATCGATTATGAGGAGACTTATTCTCCAGTGGTGGATGCAACAACATTCCGATTCCTCATAAGTCTGACCATAAGAGAAAATTTTGATCTGCGGTTAATGGATGTTGTAACCGCATATCTCTATGGGCCCCTAGACAACGAAATATATATGAGACTCCCAGATGGCATTGAACTAAAAGACAAAAATGCATCTCGAGATCAATACTGCATCAGGCTGAACAAATCCTTGTATGGACTGAAACAAAGTGGGCGTATGTGGTACAACCGCCTCAGCGATTACCTCATCAAAGAAGGCTACAAAAATGACCCCATCAGTCCATGCATCTTCATCAAGAAGTACTCAAACAAAGGATTTGTAATCATAGCAGTATACGTGGATTATCTAAACATCCTCGGAACATCTGGTGAGATCTCCCAAACAGTCGACTGCTTAAAAGCAGAATTCGAAATGAAAGACCTAGGCAAAACAAAGTACTGTTTGGGATTACAACTTGAGTACATCAAAGGAGGAATCCCTGTGCATCAATCGGTTTATATCGAAAAGGTACTCAAGCGATTTAATATGGACCAAGCTCACCCATTGACCAGCCCAATGGTAGTTAGAAGCTTAAGTGATGACCCTCTTGGTCCCAAAAAGGATGATGAAGAAATCCTTGGTCCTGAAAAGCCATACCTCAGTGCTGTAGGAGCGTTAATGTACCTGGCTAGTCACACTAGACCAGACATATGTTTCGCCGTGAACCTCCTCGCTCGATATAGTTCATCTCCAACTCAGAGGCACTGGAACGGTATAAAACATCTCCTAAGATACCTTCGAGGTACTCAAGACTTAGGACTCTTCTATACTAACCAAAATAAAGATGGGTTAGTCGGCTTCGCCGATGCAGGATATCTATCAGATCCGCACACTGCCAAGTCTCAAACTGGCTACGTTTTTACGCATGGAGGAACAGCCATCTCTTGGAGATCAATGAAGCAGACACTCACTGCCACTTCATCAAACCATGCTGAAATCCTAGCCATTCATGAGGCTAGTAGGGAATGCGTCTGGCTGCGCTCCATGACTCAGCACATCCGCAGAGATTGTGGTATGGACGAAGACACACAGCCCACGGTGATGTATGAAGACAACGCGGCATGCATAGCTCAGCTCAAGGAAGGATATATCAAAGGAGATCGGACGAAGCACATTCTACCGAAGTTCTTCTCAACCTCAGACTGGCAGAAGGACGGCACTCTCAGCGTTCAGCAGGTCCGATCCAGTGAGAATTCAGCTGACCTCTTCACCAAATCATTGCCTACTTCAACACACCGGAAGCTCGTCAAACAGATAGGAATGTATAGACTTAGAGATCTGCAGTGATGCTACAATCAGGGGGAGTAATGCGTGTTGTACTCTTTTTCCTTCACCATGGTTTTGTCCCACTGGGTTTTTCCTGGTAAGGTTTTAATGAGGCAACATTCCCCAGCGCATTATCGAGATCCCGATTGAGTAGCTGGCCCGGTTCACTCGTCCAAGGGGGAGTGTTGTAACACATATCATATATGGACTCTTATACCGGCCCATTAGGCCCATCAGGGCATTGTACTTAACCTAGATTCCCTATGTACTCTATATATACATTCCAGTGATTAATAAAGTTTCTAAGTTTTCACAACAAATTTACAAGAAAACGATCTCATTATTCTACCTTCTTATCCATTTTATCCCTCAAAATCTCTTTAATCGATCTATTTACTCTACTTTTGAGGAAAAATGCATCGAGCTCAAAATAACTTACTTGTAAAGGTTTTAGTACTTGAGGACTTTCACAATACCTATTTTTTGGGAAAGAAAAATCTAAACAGAAAATATATATCGAACCAAATAGCATATTTAACATAGATCAAACAAAATTTTATTAATAAATCAATCTATTATATTAAAACAGAAGCACATTTAGTACTTGCTTCCAAACACTCCCAAAATTTTTTTAAAAATATTTTGAGAAACAGTTTTAAAATTATCCTAAATTATTGTAATATTATTTAAAAATATATTTTATTTTTTATATAAAAAAATCCGAAAATTAGATATGAATTTAGATAACTAAAGATTTCCTTAAATATAGGTCATATTTAATTTAAAATTCAAACTATTTTTGTAATT